AGGATGAATCGCATGAAATCCTGTGCGTGTCACCCCAAATGGCTACGTGTGTCAGCACTGACATGCGTGTCATAGGTTCGCCATCACTGGCCTAACATCATCTGGTGGCACAACTCACTTTTTCTGCTTCTTGAACCACCATTACAGGAGCAGAATGGCTCACTGGGACAACATTTGGCAGCCAACAACTTGCAAATAAACTGAACTGGAACTATTATCCATGTCTTAAAGTCCCCAGTCACAGTTCTGAGGATTGGCAACCGACCACAGTTCTGAGGATTAGTACGTATCATAGACAATATTGGACCATTCAAAACTACTGGCTTAATAATTATTTTCATAGATGAAGGCTGCTGATGTTAGCAGGGGAACTGATACTGTCAAATTTTAATGGGGGAAGATGCCTATAGTATCTCCTCCCTCCACTATTATATAACAATATAGTCAAAAATTACTCCCTCTCTTATCTTCACATAGTCTCAGCTGAAGTGCCATCTGATTTGACAGAATTCTTGGGATAGTCACATAGTGTGGATGAAATCCTTACAACATACTGGCTTGATTATTATTAATAGTTGTATTCCTCTTCCTTCCAGCAGATCAGTTTCACTGCTAACTCTTTGTTCTGATTTAATTAGGATTCTTCTAGTTTAAATACACAATGGACAGTTGATGAGCAGATTAAGACTATTCCTAATGGAAAAGAATTGTTAGTACTTAAAGGTCCCTGCCAAGAGTTTGTAATCTAGATGATAAATTGCAGCAGAATATTCATTTCTCCAGTCTCCTAGGAGTCAAAGATTGCCTTATATAATGGGAACCTTTTAACAGTCCAGGAAGTTTCTACTTTCAATTATCCATAGAGTGACTCATCATCTAAGAGAACCGATTCCCTGTGAATTAGGACACTATGGTGCCCTGAGAGGATGGGTTGGGCCTGTTCAACATCACATTTTCCATGACTGGTTCAATCATTTACCTTCAAAGTTTTCTGTATCAGCCTGCACTAGTGCATACACTGTATGTGAGAAAAATATTCTCCTAATATGGCTTTAGCTCAAGAAAGGAAGCAGTATATTTAGGCATTTTCTTGGTTCTTCTCCAAAATACTTTCCCAGAATTGTCTTGGGGCTAAACTTTGTAACATGATACTTCCCTAATATGATATGCACAGCAATATCAGCATAGATTATTAACATTAAATCATGATTCCCCAAATACATGAAAGGCGGGACATGGAATTTAGGATTTGGGGAACCAGTTTGGCTTGCTCACTTGTAAGTGACTTAATTGAACTTTAATGAGCTAAAATTTCTCTCAGTTATGTAGATCAGTTTGCAATGCATATACAGCATGGCAAGGACAATCTTTTTGTACTACACTACTGTAGTATAGATGCTTAAAATCTTGATTCCACAAAAATATGGACTCTAGATTTTGGAATGTTTCTAGGATTTCTTCAGTTTGGGGAGATGTTCAATGGTAGAGACCCCAGTTTGTGTGCAAAAAGTCATTAATTCAATCCTTGACTTTCTGAGTTCTGAGGATCAAGTAGGAATTGATGGGAAAAATTTGTCTGTAGAAAGTTATTGGTTTAATCCCTTCAAATAATGTCCTAGAACTTGCTTTCTTTTCATTTGTTGTCACTTCACAAAATTCTTCAATACCGTAACAAGTCACTTTTGTAAATCCAACACAGGGATGTTATCCAGGTTGAACTTTTTGTTTGTATATCCCTTTTAAGTATTAAAATATCAACTGGTTTCATTTGTATATCCAGTGTAACAACTTTTCTCATATTATTGTAGACTGTCACTTTAAAAACCACTTTCAGATCAGTCTCGTCCAGCAAAACTTGTTCCTTTTCCATAACATCTTTTAAACACAAGCTGTCTATAATGGCAGACACCTTTAAAATTAACTTCTGGGTTCATTGTTCACAAACACCCCTCAAAATGTCCAATGTTGAAGTATTGTGCTCCGTTCTATATTAGTAACTCTAAATCTTCTCCTTTAATTGTAATCTTTAGTTCCTTCTGGTTCCTTCTAGTGTCCAACCTTCAATCTCATCCTATTATGTTTTTTTAAAGAATTCAAAACAGCAGCATTCCCTCCTTATTTCAAATTCATCTGGACTCTTAGTCAGTTTGTACTTTTCCAAAATTAACCTTCTAATCACCCTTTTCTGTTTATTTTTTTTAAAGTTTTTTTTAATTCCTTACATTTATATTTAAAGTTTCTTTCACAAATAATTCAACAAGATTCATCTGGTACTGTAAAACCTGTTCCAAAAGCTCTTAATAGCTGAAAAGCAGTTAATAAGTGATTTCAAAAAGAAGTATGCAAACTCAGTATCATAATAGCAATAGCACTTAGACTTATATACTGCTTCATAGTGCTTTACAGCCCTTTCTAAGCGGTTTACAGAGTCAGCATGTTGCCCCCAACAATCTGGGTCCTCAAAGGTTCTGACCACGGTTTGGACATGGTTTCCCTCATCTCCCAGAATTATAAACGATGTCTGATGTTAATGATGACAAGAATATGGCTGATTGATCACACAAATAAGAATCAAGAATCATGGGGAATATAGCCAAAATCACCAGGGCTTTTTTCTTTTAAGACTCCAAGAAGCCTTGGGGTTGCTGGCAAAATGTTCATATGAGCTTTCCATCTCGGGCATTTTTTCTCTATTTTAAAAAATTCTTTGAAGTCAATGGCCCAATAAGTGAGAGTATTTTGGGCTTCTTGATTGTACTATTGCACCGCGGTTCGCCCACATAACACCTATCCTCCGCGAGCTGCGCTGGCTACCTGTTGATCTCCGGATGCGCTTCAAGGTGCTACT